TACCAAACATCTTGAATTGATTTTTTTAAAATTCAAATTCAACTTTCAAATATGGTATCAAATATATATTTGAAAACAAAGAATACATCCATTAAATCCGTTGTTTTCAGATTTGATCACTAACCAAACACATCTTTTATCTTTTCAAATTCTCACATAATACAACAAAAACCTACCAGTTGTTTTATGCATTGGATGTCATTATTTCACAATAATTAGGATGAAAATGGATGGATGTGTGTTACGTTGGTGATCACACATACGATATTATGGAGTTTCAATGTCGTAGGCCGCCGTAACCAACCGGGCCCCACGGCGTCGTTCCACTAGCCGAAGACTTTAAACTCAAACCACCCACCATGAAAGACGATTTGGTATATTGTACTATATATATAAAATATTATTTAATTTCGTTTTCTTGGTGTCATGAATGATTAATATTTTTCTTTGAACGAAGAGACTTAATTATGGACAAAATCAATTCTAGCTATTATTTGGTGGCGCTGGAGAGAGAATTTCGTTCTAATTACGTATTTATTTATCTACGTATCTATAACAATAAACGATTAAGATGAGTAGTTGAGTCAACCTTACTCAACCATAATTGACATATATCTCCAACTAACAGATTGTAAGTTTAATCTTTATCTCCACATGTTATGAGAAAAAAAATAATTAAGATGAGTACAATCAGATAATAATATATCTAATAGAAATGAGTGTTGAATTTTAAAAAGTAGTGTGTGTTTATGTTGTCGACTAAAAAAACCCTGAATCTTTAGAAGAATTATTGAAATTATAATTCGTAAGTTATTCAATAATATTTAACTTTTATGTATTTTCCGATACTAAATATCGTAAAGTTAAAGTGGTTATTTCGTGAGATGAGTCGATGTGGGCACAAACTGACGTGGACACTGACAGATATCAATAGAAAAAAGTTTATTTAATAATAATTAAGTAACAATAACTATTTGTGTATAATTTGTATTGAAAAAGTAGAAAGAGTTAAATCTATAGGTTATGTCATACTACATAACCTTTTAACTCTGTGATAACAAGATTCACCTAGTTTTAATCTTTTCTTGGACTATATGATTCGGGCTTCAAATGTGTGACTCTCTATTTAATAAAAAAGTACGATATCAATAGATAGTCATAGTATATTTTGGAGCTACATAACTCCATTTTTTTTTAATATATGGTAGCCATAATTCACAATTGATCCTTATAATTAATTGCGTTAACATCAACAAACTAGCACTACATTTTTTCAAAATAAAAATGAGACAGTACCTTTTATTTTATATCAACGAGAAGGAGATGGAAGAGAATTTGAACCTCAACTTTAAGAGATTGTAATGGCTTAACCATTCAGCTAAATTGGCAAAACGAACTAGTACTTATTCAGTACGTCCCGCTTACTAATAAAAAAGATATGAAATGAAATATCGACTAATATGTATATTAATTAAATAGACTAAATGGAGCTATCTTTTATATTGTTACTTGTCAATTAATTATTGAATTAAATCTGACATGTATAACTTGAGAATTTAATAAGATTTAGGCATTGAAAGATAGAATTGAATTTCTTCTTCCCCATTCATTTTCAGGCTTCGAAGAATTAAAAATAGATTTTTATCTCAACTCTCAAACTGTTGCCTACTTTTAAATTAATTATAAAATAGTATTAATCTTGACTAACAATAACGCAACTTTCTCTTTCACATATATATTGGGTTCTTAACTTCTAACGATTACCAAAAATAATTCATACATAACATGCAGTAAATTGTAATCATAATTTCAACCTTAGAACAAACTATAATTGAAGTAATAATAAGAACAACAATAATATTAATTGATTTCCCCTAATATGTAAATGCATTAAAATAAAACAAACTCAAGATGTAAAATGAGAGAATTTCCAGTACAAAACTTGTACTAAATATTCAATACCATTTTAAATAGCAGTATGAGTCAGAAGAAAAACAAATTTATTAATTTTTATGTCATGAAATTATTTAAAATAATTATATAAAATTTTAGCAATACCATAATGTTTTTAAATATTTCCGTATAAATAAGTAGCTCCTCAATAATGTGACACGTGGTCAGCAGGGAAAAATTGTATCGTGACACGTGTCAGTTCGTTAGGTAATGCAATTCATTCCTGCCAACTTTCTCAAGCTGGCTGCTGAGGGCGGCGTGTGGTACAAAACGAAGCGGAGGGCATTCTCTAAGCTTTTATTAATTATATATATATATATTTATACGCGCTTGCATTTATGCTGGAAAATGAAGTGAGTTGGTGTCAAGTCTCTGCCCTATTGAATTTTGGGATTAAAATTTGCTTCACGTATTGAAATTATTAAGTAATTTGAAAGAGTATACATATTTGGTATGTTCTTAAATTTCACATTGATTATTTGAAGTTATTAAGGTGAATTGAAATTAATTGCATTTTGTCAAATATTATCATTTCTGGCAAATCATGTACCGGTAAATCTTGTCGACAAATAAATAAAGGGAAAAATATATGGTAAATTATATATATATATATATTTTTTTTTGAAGTGACTATTTGAAATGGATTTTTTTAGAAATAAAGTTTAGGTTTAAATCCTATTTTGATTTCTATATTTTGGACTTTGGTTTATTTTGATTCATGTATTTTCTAAATGTCAAATTATGTATTTTTCTATTTTCATTTAATTCCTACCCTTTAGATTTTGAAAACATTTGTTTCAGTTTGACAGCTTTCAAAGAGTGGTCATTTTGATATATTTGGTAAGATGTAGAAACTATTTCATACAAATTTATGGTTATTTCTTAATAAATATTTTATAGTAAATAAAAAACATTTTTATCATAATATTTACCCGATTACGTGATAAAATAATGTATTTTAAAATATTCCATCATTTATACATATATATATATATATTATATTTTAAAATATATATTATATGGTTTTTAATAAAGAATCTGACTTATTTTCGATTTTGTATTGTATCCTCTTTTTTGAATTAAAAAACGGGGTTTGCTGATTTTGAACTCTTTGGTCTTTAAATAAAAAATTAGTATTTGTTTATAAAAGTAAAAATTAGATTCCCTTCACTTCTAATGCGTAGATTTCCTTTTTTTGAGGTGCAAAAGGAAAAATAAGAAAACAAAAGCAAAATACAAAATTGCACTTTTTCCATAGTTGTCGTGTAATGTGTGTCAAAAGACTCAAAACCAACCTCTCTACGTCAGGTTCGGTTAAAACATAGCCTTTGCTACTTTTTTTCAGAGTTTTTTTCTTACCTTTTTTTCTTCAACATTATTAGTATCCAAAGTTAATCAAAGTAATTTTAGCCCAAAAGTTAATGTCTTAAAACTAATTTTAAAACGTATTGTTTTTTTTTTCAAAAAATTTTAAAACGTATTGTTATTGGCTGTTTCATAATATTTTTATTTATTGTTTCTTATTTTAAAATTTAAGTATTTGCTAATTGTTGTTTCTTTGTTTCTCATCTCTTTAAAAGATATGTTTGCAAAATTGTGTATATATATATATATATTTTAATTTTGTAGAGAAATTTTGGAAAGAACAAAATTAAATTTCTTGTATTTTGTTACTATTTCTATTTTTTTTAAACATAGACAAAATATTGTTTTATCATTCTTTACCTACAAAATGCATAATCGATATTAAAAAGTAATAACAACATTAAATATTTAATTTAAAATTTTAGTTTCCATATAAAATTTTTAATTTTTGAATTTAAAATTTTAGAGAAAAAGTAAAAGAAATTGTTACCTTATTTTTCAATTAAAAGAATAAAGAAATCAAATATAATTATATCTTTTTGTTAGAAAAAAAATGTAATTATATTTTTATTTATTAAATGTTAAAAACCAGAATCTTAATTTGTTAACTCTTAATTATCTAAGACAAACATAAGAAATTATTTTCTTTAAAATTTTTATTTATTTTTATTCTCTTTGATGAAGTAACAAAATAAGAAATTGAGGAGATTGAATAAAATCGTAGGATTATAATGATCTTAATCTCCATTGATAAGTACTATATATATATATATATATATCTCCATTCATCATTTAACGAAAAAATAAATTGTATTTTAAAATTCAATTCATAACTAATGGAACTTCACGCATGTGCCAAAATTCAAAGATAAATAATTTTTTTAGTTCAACCCTAAAAATTGAAATCTCTCGTATTTTGGTTGAAAATATATACCTCAACTAATTATGTTAATTTATTAAAATTAAAAAACTAAACATGTAAATATTCACAAGTAAATAAAAAATTTGTTGCAAAAGTGAGAATAATTCAACGTTAATTGAAATATATCTCTAACTTTAGTTTGATCCTCACATTCACATGTAATACTAGAAAATAAAAAATAAAAAAAAATTTGTTGATATCCACCTTTTATTAAATCATTTTTTTAAAATGAAATAAATAATTATATACACACAATTTAGAGAATAAAATAAAATGTCAAAGATTTTTAAAGTAAAATGACATAAAAATATAATTTTGGGTGACAATTTCGAGAAGCTAATCATCTAAAACTTAAACTTGGAACTCATGTCACCTAGTAACTTGATTTTTGGGCAAAGGTTGATCATGATATATGTAATCATTGGGACACAAATCAAAGCAATCCGGAATTTTTGTTTCATATGGAAGGAAATTTCAATTTAATGTCATCTCAATTCTTTTAAGGAAAAAAAAAAACTCCCAAAAAGTATTACTTTATATTAGATATTTATTTCTTGGCTTTTCTTATTGAAACGGAAGACAACTCTCGCCCCCAACGCTCCGGCGTAGCGCGTGGAAAAGAACCAGAAATTTCAATTGGGTCTGTTCCCGCGGTTGAAGACACGCGCTAAGACCGAGAGTGGGCCACCCTTCCTCTCCAAGTACCACTCATCCCCTTTATATACCCTTCCCTGTAACCGCTCAAGATCAAGCGCTCCTCCATCGAGAAAAAGAAAAAGAAAAAGAAAAAAAGAAAAACTCTCTCTCTCTCATCCATTGGAACGAATTAGAACGAGGAATTGAAGAAGAAGGCGGAATTGTGAACTGATTGTGAATTCGCTGTATGTTCGAAATGGAAATTGAGGCGAATCGGCCGGCGGTGAAGAAGAAGCTGTGGAACGTGGTGCGAGCGATTGTATTTATGTTGAGGAAAGGGCTGAGTAAAAGCAAGATAGTGTTGGATCTTCATTTGATGATCAAACAGAGCAAAATCGTCGGAAAAGCGATAGCGAATCTGGTGGAGTTCCACCACGGCTCCGCCTTCAGTTGCCAGACGATCGACATCGCCAATTCCTACATCTCCACTCGCGATTACGAGTTCAGTTGCAGCAACAGTCCGGCGCCGGCGTATCCGTTCCGTTACTTCAATAAGCTTCGAAAACACCAAAACCACCACTATTTCTCCAAATCCTACCGCTACGACGATTTCTCCACCGTTACGGCCGTCCACAGAGTTCTGGATATTCTTCACAGCGATCAGAAGTCGGAGGCGTCGCCGTTAGTGCCGTTACCGGGATTCGGAAAGAGTCCGCGGTCAGTACGGCAGTTGCGCGTTACGGACTCGCCGTTTTCTCTGAAAGACGACGGCGATAGCCAGTTCGTCGACAAGGCGGCGGAGGAATTTATCAAGAAGTTCTACACGGATCTACGGCTGGAGAGAAGTTTAGCAACTTTCGAATCGCCGTATCGGAACACGCTGTGCCGATGAAGATATGAACAAGTTTTCCGATCGCCGTACGACGACGAACCTGCGGAATTTGCGACAGTTGAACATCATAAACGAACGTCGAATCGAATCACAATTCACACCAGTATTTGCCTCGAGAGACGTGATTGATCCTCAGCCATATCTGTTGAAGCTCTCGAGCAAATACAAATCTAACTAAGTTTAGATAATTTCTTCATTTTCTTTTTTCTTTTTCTTTTCCTCTCAAAGTAGTTTTACTAAAATTTAGCTTGGAATTTTAGATCTTAGAATTTTCATGTTTTTTCAGCCACTGAACCTAAAGGTTCTGTTTTAATGAGATGTGACAGCTTTTTTTTATTTACTTAATATATATGCAATTTGTCTAAGTTTTTATAGTTTTTGGTTAGATGTTGAGTTTGTTGGAAATTGATTTCGTTTTATATAACATGATTAATAAATAATTAACAAGCACGATTAAAATAGATTTTATGTAAGAGTGTAAATATTAAAACGAAACAATTGAAAGTATTGAAATTTCAAAAAATTAACATAAAATAATGATGAAATGAAAGTTCAAGCGTATTTGCTTTATTTTAGTTAGTAATGCTATAAATCTTGCGTTTAGCTTTCGAGAATTTAGTAGAATAATGCTAGTTTTATTTATTTATTATTATTATTATTATTATTTTTTTAGGAAAAGTGCTAAAAAATTAATAAATAGTATAACAATTTTCAAATGATTCCTTTTGTTTTATCTACTGGTTTTGAGGTAGAATGATTGAGGTAAAATGATTGAAAGTGATGTGCCCGGAATGATTTTAAGAAAGAAAATAGTATTTTTCTATTTGCAAAATAAAATACACCGAAGATGATATATGATATAATCTTTTTATGTAGTTTTGGATATCACTCCTATTTGATAGGAAAATACTCCGGTCCTAACATTAATTCTCAATATTTAAGACACCAATCTAAAACGAGATAATTTTTTATTTAAAAAATATTGAGAGCTGTCCATTTTGAATGGTAGTCAGTATTGAGATAGATCTTCGTTTGTTAAGACTCAAGTATTTTCCTATTTGATATATGAGATATTTGTTTTTTAATACAACAATGTATAAGGATGGAGGTTCAAACATACGACTTTTTAGTCGATGATACATTTTTTAACCAATATCTCAAGTAATAAGAGATTGGCACAATATCTTAAAGATATATATAAGAATTCACAACTCAATCTCTCCAACAAACAAATTGATGTTTATAAATCGAGACATAAACATAAAAGAAATATATAATTTTAAATTAGTCAAAAGTTCAAATTTTTACTAGAATGACATGGTTAAATTCAAAGTCAAACTTAAATGTAACATAAAATATATCGAGATTAACACAGAACGTGATCATGTGATGAATGATAAAATGATAAGATCAGTGATATACAATATATAACCCACTCTCTCATACATATAATTGATTTACCGTGAATAGTAGAACAACCTAACTATCAATTCCAACAAACTAACAAACACCCCCCTCAAGTCAATAGTAGTCAATAGAAAGAACAAACATTCAAGAGGCAGAAAACGTGAAACTATTAAATACTTGATGAGAATATCAACAATCCGAGAAGCAGCAAACAAATGATAAACACTTCGTCTTAATAGCAATAATTAATTAACCACATATGAAAGATAAAATTACTAGTGGGATATCTTAACACCCCGGGTAGAAGAACACACATTGAACTTTGTTTATGCAAGGATATGCACAACAGTGTATTTCAGATTGTAGCTCGAACTCGGCCTCCGGACCGATCTGAATACTGGGCGGACCTGCACAAAAAGGTGAGCACTCCGACGATCAAGTCAGTATAGGTCGGATTCCCAGTTTAGTTCGAGGTCAGAAATCATCGTACCTGATCGTGGAGTGAAGTCCTCTACTTATGGCTGGTAGTCCCGCTAATCTCGCGACGGTTACACCCGGTAATCTCGGGACCGTCGGTTACACCCGGTAATCTCGGGACCGACGGTTATACCCGATAATCACGTCGCTGACAGTAGCTCACATCGACCCCCACCGAGCTTCCTGGTAGGTCGGACCTTGGCCAGGTTCACCTCGACCCTCATACTTAGCATCTGTCAACGCTAGTGGTGGTGATCTCGGCCGTCCGAGCTGGGCATGACTCATGAGTCATCTTGGAGCACCAATAGGGGTCCTCCACGTGTCCAGGGTATTCTCTTCCCCAAACAAACTTGAATTTAAGAGATAGGAAAAAAATGTGAAACTGATAGAAAGCTAGAGAAAGTAGCAGACAAATGACAAACACTTCACTTTAATACGAGTAATTAACAACCGATAAAAATAGATTAGTAGTGTGGTATGTTAACAAAATGTACTAAGAAATCTAAAACTTATGCCATACTATATTTAAAAAAAAATATGAAAATTTATGACAAAAATGAAATTAAAATAAATTGGTCACATTTTAAGAATTTTCATATATATATAAATACCATGCAAATGTTGCTTTTTCATAGTTGTTGAAAGGTAGCCTTTGGATTTATTACAGGTCTCTTTAGTTTCTCTACTCTATAGAGTGATGTGTTCAATTTATTATAATTAGGTGTTCTAGTGGTTCTCATTCTTTTGCGTGGTTACAAGATGTCATCTATCCAACTTTTTTTCCTTCTTCTTTGCCCTAAAAACAATTTGAGGAGAGGGACATTTGAATCGACGAGGTGGTGTTAGAATTTATTAGATTTTATCTGTTGAGTCATAGACGTCACAGGTCGTTATACAAGATCCTCTTGTTCGCCCACTTGGCATAACTATTTAACCGTAACCATTTCAAATACTATTATATAACCATTACGTAGTGTTTGATCTGAAATTGTTGTAGTTTTGAATAATGAAATTCTACTTCGTATTCCATCTATTTAGATCACGTCGGTTTAAAAAAACAATTCAACTCGAACACGACAACACATGTCTCCTTTTTATGATAGCTACGTCATTTAAAGATGCATGCTAAATTCGCTTTTGGAGTCACATGTCTCATCATCAACTCTTCTATAAAGGATTTTCTTGTCCATCATGATTGTTTCATATCAACTTTTCTTTCAATGGATTATTAAATATTTGAATTTACAAAAAGTAATTATAAAAGGCAAATCTTACTATTTTAGCTTGCATGTAAACATTATTGTTATTCATTTAAATAGTAAAACTTTAAAATTTTGCACTTTTCCACCTAATGATTATTCATTAAAAGTAAGATTAAACATAATAATTATGAGTAAACACCAAGCAACAATGGAAAGCTAATTTTCAGATGTTTGACTTCTTACTCGACATGAGTGCAATTTAAGTTTAGCTAAATTTTGGCCAAAAGATGTAAGAATATTATTTTTCATTTTTCATTAATTTTGGCTTGGATAATGTGGATATTTAACTTTGTATATATATACACGTATATATATATGTATCAAGTGTAGAAAATAATATTACCCCGAGAAAAAGCTGGTAGAACAATATGTTTTTGTTTTTTATTTTTATTTTTTTAATACAAAAAAAAACATTTTAGTACAAATAGTTGTGCCTTTAACACTTCATGATTCTCTTGGTTAAAAGAAATAAGGGATTTGTATTGAGGGGGGTAGGAGATTCAAAATCCACCAAGTAACAAAACATTTTAATAGAAGGATATTGTTAAATTCATGAGCCAAATTTGAACTATAGTAATCTAGTGTTGTTACCAAATTTTAAAAGTGTATTTATTTATTATTTATATTTTTTTGCAAACTAAAGTGAAAGTGAAGTGATTTCAACTCTCCTTTCCTTTTCTTTCAGAACTGCAAATGAGAAGTGGGCTGGGCTGGTAGTCCAGCCCATTTGCATTGAGCAGTTGAGGGGTAATTGGGCCGATGAGCAGTGGGTTGATATCCAGCCCATTAATTCAGACAAGGCCTATGTTGACTTTGGTTTGTCACTATGCAGAAAAAGTAAAATGTAATCGACTAAAAACGATCGGTTGACATCATTTGTAGGCTAGTTTAAAATAATTTATTTTAAAACTAATATTTTTCAACTCAATGGTTAATATTGAAATATTCATCAAATCCAATCGATTATTGTAGATAAATGCTACCAAATAGACAAAGGTACATAAATATATTCAAAATAAAAAATTCTAACAAGATTTCTACCGATTACCTAACTTGTTTTTGCCATCTATTTCGTCAAATCAATTAAAAATTATGTAGTGAAAAGTTAACATTAATGTGATGTGATGTTATCTCAAATTTATGTTAATAAAAACCCAACAACATAAATTAAATTAATTTGTTAGAAATACGATATTAAATAAAACTTAGTATTCAATAATATAATCGAAACTCCTTCCAAATTTAAGATTGGAATTTGGATAGGCACAATAACCACAATTTAGGCTAAATTTATAATTTAATGAAATTTAAATTATTCCCATAAATTTATATTATTAATAAAATTGTAGTAATTATCTTTATATCAATTGGGGATGTAGCTCAGATGGTAGAGCGCTCGCTTAGCATGCGAGAGGAACGGGGATCGATACCCCGCATCTCCATTTGTTTTGTGGTTTCATTTTTTTATTTTTATTTTGACGATTTCTTTTGGTGACGTGGAAGGTATACATTGGTGGAACACGGAGGGCGCCAAAGTCGTTACAGCACATGATTATTCTGCCGCGTTTCCTTCGATTTCACTCGTCGATCAGAAGATTCAGAACAGGGTCCTCAACTAACGATTCTCTTCGTCGGAAATTCTCATTTTTCACGATCCTCCGCCGCACTCTGTTGCCGATTCTCAGAATTGCCGATAAACTAATTCCGCTGAAAATTCACCGCCATTGTGGTGCCTGTAGAGCTTACAGTGTCCTTTGGCGAAACAAGATTTCCGTTCGAGCTACCGGAACGTTTAGAATCTCATACTTCGGTTCATCCAATCTCCGGCCACCGCTTGGTAGGGCTTGGCATTGTTTCCGATCCGAGTTTCGGCTTCTTAATGGCTTCGTGGCTCAAAGCTGCTGAAGGTTCGAGGTTCTTCTGTTTCTCTTACATATATGTGCTCGAATTATCGTTCTGATCTGAAGCGTTTTTTCATTAATCTTGGATTCGTTATCAAATTAAAGCTACTACGTTTCCGCATAGATTCTGAAATTCCACGAATTTGAGTTTGATGTGTTACAGTGTGAGAATTATTGCCTGAGCAAAGATGTTTTAGAATTATTGTGATTGAAGAACGTTTTAATTCGGAGGCAAGTTTCCGATCTGATGCTGTAATTGAAAAGTTTCAGAGAGTACATTTTGTACCCCGCTTCTCCATTTCTAGGTCGTTTAAAGTAAGGCTCAGGCTTTTGGTACTGGGTTCACCTGGTTTGCAAAATAATGGATTTAGGTTTTTGTTAAGTTTCAACTATTGTTTGTTCTGATGGAATTATGTCGAGATCTCGCTCAACGTTAATTGTGAGCATCTAATGACAAGATCAAGATCGCATATGTAGCAAATTAAACATCTAATTTGGCACTTCTCTTTGTTTCGAATATATTTATGATGGTAGACAATCGGGGATTCCAGTTTCTCAGTAGTCCGCCTTGGGATTTAACATTCAGGTGGCGAACCATGGGTAGAAGTTTCATATGAATTAGCTGCTTCTGTGTTTTCTTTTAAAATAATTTTTTTTCTCGGGCATTTTTTTTTTCCTTCTTCTTCGTCTCTCTTTTTGGGGCAAAAGCCACCATTGAACGGTAGGAATTGTTACAATCACACACTAGCTACGAGATAATAATCATACTGATATAACTTAACTGAGCTATAATATCGGACTTGGGCGGGTGCAAGGGCCCTTGGTACGAGGGAGTAAAGTTCCTACTCCCAGTTATAAAAAAAGAAAAAGAAAAGAAAAATTAAGTTATAACATCAGAATTTAATTGCAGCGGTCTCATAAGTTCAATGGATAATTGCTTAAACTGAAAGTTTGACGGTGCTAGTGTGATAACCTCTATAGTTCGGGTTGGTTTTTAAATTTTTACGTTTTTTTTTCTTATTTCCCTTCTATATTTCTTACTAAAGGTACCTTTAATGAGAACTTATTTGTACTCTATTAATTGATTGTTACTATCGAGTGTTGGCTATAACTTTTAATTTCTGAATATCATCGAGATTTTATTTTCTGTTACATTAGTATTACTGTTGCACATACCTATGTTGATTTTGTGGAGGAAAGGAATTCACATTTCACGTTTTATAACTTGGAGAATTTATCCATATCTGTGGAGATAAAGAGAAACTGCAATCTAATGGTCATCACTTGAAGGTTAAGATTTTTCTGCTTTAAGAGCAAAAAGGTTTGAAGTCTAGTGCTTCACTCTTATTGTCTCTCGGAGCTGGACTTCTTAGTTCTTGAGGTGGGAATAGCCTCTCCAGGAATTTTAATGGGAGTGGGCCCATTGGTGGCACCCCAGTTATCGGAAAAGAAAATCATAAATTCCCATGAATGTCTCGATTTACTCATCTATTATCATAGCTTCCCCTTGCAAAGAAAATTCCTAAAAGTCATTTATGATTGTCAGGATTGTTTGAAGTTGTAGATCGAAGGGCAAAGCTTGTCGTCAGTGAGTTGTCAGAAGAGCAGTCCGATATTCAAACTCCTGGTATGCATCTTGATTTATGTCATTTATGTAAGAATTGATATTTTACTTCCTGTATGTAGGGCAACATTACTTTCCGTTGGAATTGTAGCTCCCTTTGGAATTGGGTTTTCTAGAATAATTTAATGACTACTGGTTAGGCCATAATTATTGAAGCAGATCTTCTTCAGAAGAACCAAGAATTTCGTTCAAAGATTATAACTGAAATTGATTTCTGGACTCGAAATGGTTTTTTACCTTCCCATAAGTAGTCATTTGTTGTGATAATATTGATCATATGAATCCTTTTCTTTTTTTCAACTACCGTTGGATGAAGCTTCTAATGGCCAAGGATCTCAAACCAAGAGGACAAAGTCAAAGAAAGAGGTGGGTTATGGCTCACTTGTTGGTGTCAAATAGTAGCATTATACATTATTTTCACGTCTTAAAATATATTTTGGTTCTACATTTGAATATTTTTAGGCAAAGAAACCATCCGCGAACGAACCTTCTAAAGCAAATGACACTGCAGAAGAGCAAACAAGCATATTATCATCACCGGCAGATGTGGGATCAGTGCCTGTACCTGGAACAGACGGAATTGTTTCTTTCAATGAAGACGACCGGACTGCTTCTGATAAGTCTTTGACCCAAGTAAACAAAAGGAAGCAAGATGACGATGACAATAATGTCCCTGAGCTAGACAGTCCTTCAACAGATGCCCTGGTAGTTGAAGCCGTAAAACAAATTCCTGATGGTGTGGATGCTTCAGCAGTTGTTGCTGATGTTGAAGTTACTGCACCAACTTCTAAAAATGAGGTAAATAATGTGAACGCCGTGGATGTTCAAGAGGAGAATTTCTCGTCAATACCCATTAAAGAGATTGAGGAGATTAAAAAGGATCATCAAGATGATGGGCAGAGTAATCCATTGGGAGGTGAAGAAACTATATCAAAGATAGATCAAGACACGTCTGAGTTGGCAACTACAGACTTCCAGGCTAATGGGGAAAATCAAACGAAAGATGATTCTAATAAGGTTCAATCACCAGTGAATCAAAAGGAACAAGAGAATAAAGCTGACCAGTCTTCAATGAAAATGCAGGACCAACTTGAAGAGGTATAATAGTGATTTTGTTTGTATGTAGTAGGATCGTATTTTTTGTTTTCTTCAGCTTTCACTGATCCTGTTTCTACTACTAGTTTTGTTAAAAGTTCATTTAGTTGGTGTGCAGGCACAAGGACTGCTTAAAACTTCTAGTTCCACTGGTCAGTCAAAGGAAGCAAGGCTAGCTCGGGTATGTTCTTGCGTCATGCCTCATTCTTGAACTTTTATGATGCAGATTTGGTCAGAATATGTCAGTTGTAGAATTTGGATTCCTCATGTAGCACGGGCTACATGATATATTTTGAACTAGCTGTTATCTTGTGTCATTTTGTATCCCTTGGATTTTACGATTGTCCTATATCATTATTGATATGATGATATTACAAAGGTAAAATTCCACAAAAGTGCATGTGGCTCAGAAAATCTTGACTGCATATCTAGTTAACAATCTCGGTTTGTAAGAATACAAATTTCAATCAGAACGGTTATCTTATATTAGTTACTTAAATAGCCAGACATCTGTTACTTTGTTGGATGATTTACCATTTTCTTATTGAGGCATAGGTCTGTGCTGGACTTTCGTCACGTCTTCAAGAATACAAGTCTGAAAATGCACAGTTGGAGGAACTCCTTATTGCAGAGGTGAGAGTTATCAGTTATCACATCTGGATTAGGTATTAAATGAACTCTTAAGCACCTTCTTATTGTTGAGAACTTATGCATTCAGTGTTCACGGTCTACACTAAACCTATTTTGGTATCAAATGAAATGTCTTTTATCCAAAAATAATATGTGCATTTGTGTATATAATGCTTTTTTTTTTTCTCTCTTTTTGGTAGTCAATAGTTGATGTATTCCATTAGCTTGTTTTAGTTTCAATGAAAGCACTCGTGTAGGGTGTTAATCAGTAAAGATTGGTTTTGATGGTAACCTGGCGAGTAATCATATATATATATTTTTCTTATTGGAATTTATTCATGATAGTCTAAACCATGCCCACAAGAATTAGTGTTTTCTATTGTTCTTGATACACTCCAGCCATTTCCCCCCTCCTTTTCACCACTTAAGTTTGTTCTTTGACAGAGAGAATTGAGTAGATCATATGATGCTCGCATAAAGCAGCTAGAGCATAATTTATCGGAGTCCAAAGGTGAAGTATCAAGAGTAGAGTCAAGTATGGTAGAAGCTTTGGCAGCAAAGAACTCTGAAATTGAGGCTCTTATTGGTTCCATGGATGCACTTAAGAAACAAGCTGCCTTATCGGAAGGAAATCTGGCCTCGATTCAGGTTTGTCATTTTCACTATGTTCTTTATGTGCTGATATGTTAGAGTATTAATGAACGCAAGAAATGGGAGAGGAGGGGAGCTCTTTGATCTCCCTTGGCTCGTATCTGTTGATTAATAAAATTGAGGCTGTATTTCCTCTATTGTCCTATTAATACTCTAACAAAGTTAAGATCTCAATTATATGGGGTTACAGCCTGCTCCTTTGATCATTGGGCCAGTCCTGGATGGTTTCAAGCATGGCTGTAAAATAAGTCATTTCACTTTTATTTATGCTAGTATTTTGCCATTTAGTCGTCCTTATAATACTTCATTATGCGAGACTTCTGCCTTGATTATTTTCTCATGCATTCAAAATCCCTTGATTATTTTCTCATGCATTCAAAATCTTGCTCGCCTTGTAATCGGAATACAATTTGGCTACTGGCAATGTTATCATTTAGTTCTATCATATGATTTTTCCAGGCAAATATGGAGTCAATGATTAGAAATAGAGAACTAACCGAGACAAGGATGATGCAAGTGAGCTAGTTCTCCACCTTTGTTTAATAATAATTTCTATATTTTTGTTAACCAAGAAAAGCCTTCTATTATTTGAATTTTTTTACTCGTTGGTCCTGATAAAGTTTACTCTTATAGGCTCTTAGAGAGGAGCTAGCTTCTGCAGAGCGTAGAGCGGAAGAAGAACGTTCTGCTCATAATGCTACAAAGATGGTATATATGCACAGGCCAATTGTGATCCATTTCGTGTTCGTGTGGTGTGTGTTTTCTCCAATTTTCTTCAAATAGATGATCTTTGGTGTCTTCAGGCTTCCATGGAAAGAGAAATGGAATTGGAACATAGAGCCGTGGAAGCTGCATCAGCTCTTGCAAGGATCCAGGTAAAGCACCAAGTCATCAAATTGAACTTGCAGCTCGTAGTCACATGCATTTTTATCATTAAATCTTAATAAAGGAACCTGAAGGTGGTATTTTGATGACTATTTTTTTTTTAAATTAAATTTTAATGGCTGTTCCATAAACCATTCAGATTTCAGTTCTAAACTGAATTTTTATATTTTGGATCTCTTTTTGGAAATTATTAGTATTTTTTTTAAAACACGTTTTTATTATTATCATTTTTTCTTCACGATACTATCATTTTCTCTCCCAAACTTACCTTTCTCTCTAACATATTTCCTTCTGCCAAAAGTTTCTCTTTTTGAATTTTTTCTCTGTATTCTCTCTCTCTATCATATATATTTTTCTTTAATTTTCGCACTCTAATCTTTTCTATTTAAAATTTCTCTCTGTAATTTTTCTCTTCTCTCTCTCTATCATATCTCTCACTAAGTAACAATCTCACCTTTGTATCACCTTTAATATGTATCCTTCTCGTTCCATGTGATTATTTGTTTTCCCTTATTAAGAGAGTAGCAGATGAGCGGACAGCTAAAGCAACAGAGCTTGAGCAGAAGGTAGCGCTGCTTGAGGTAAGATAGTTATAGATTATTTTTGTAATTATCATTATGAATCTGCATTTCTTAGTTCAACAGATTTAATCTTCATATAATTAGAAAGTTCCTTACTGTAGGTTGAGTGTTCATCTTTGAACCAAGAATTGCAAGATTTAGAAGCTCGTGCTCGCCGTGGACAAAAAAAGTCGCCTGAAGATGCAAATCAATTGATTCAGGTAAATATTGCCCGACTTTGAAGATGGTTTCTGGTATCCATCTTTTACTTCTATTCATCATGGCTGGCAACTTAACTTTTAGCGCTTGTATTGTTATGTAACTATATGAACAAATTCTTGCTCCATCATTTCTCATACATATTCTCTTTTCGAGTTATGCTTATATCTACAGATAGCTAACTGTGCCAATTGCAATACCAATTGTCTTTCAAGATTCATTTTTCATGCCCGTATTTTCTTGCAATAGCTGTTGTGTTGTTTCTCTCTAAATTGAAATTGTCTAATGTTAATCATCTCTTTTTCCCACCTTCCACTTTCGGACATCAAGATGCAGGCATGGCAAGAAGAAGTGGAACGTGCACTGCAAGGTCAGAGAGATGCTGAAATCAAACTATCTTCCATGGAGGCAAGTGTCTTAAGCTTTGTGTCTACTGTCTAAGACTCTGAGTGTTGGCCATTTAGTTGATTGAATTTAGTCTCTTCGGAGACATCCGATAAATTTGAATAAGTTAAATTGAATTAAGTGCAATGCCTTTGGCCTTGCCCTCTTTATCTACTCAATTTCAGGCTGAAGTGCAGAAAATGAGAGTTGAAATGGCTGCTATGAAGCGAGATGCTGAGCATTATTCACGTCAGGTTCGTTACTGCATTCTATAACTTGTACATGTTTTGCCAAGCAGACAATGCTCCATGGTTTGGAATATTATGGTTAGCATTAGCAGTTAGAATTACGATTACTGTAATTGTAAACCTAACAAAGTCATTGTTTTCACGTCTAGTGAATCTTGAGTTTCTTCTCATTTTATTGCATCCGTACGACTTTGGAGGTCATTTTTCCTATTTCTTTTTCCCTCAAATTCAAAGAGTTGTTATTATTATTACTATTCTTATTATAATAATAATGATGATGGTTTGTATGCTGTGACTTGGAGCACTTGATATTATTTGAAATACCTAGAAAATATGATATTCCTAAAGTAGAAACATAAACTGGAGGAACTATCTTTTCATGTGTAGTATATCTGCTATCAGAATCAACTCGGATGAAATCGAAAGCCTTTGATACTGATAAAATCTCATGATCTCACTGCATTAGTCTTGTACTGTTCCTTTAGGCTTTAGCTCATATTTAGATGTTTCTTTCTTTGTTCAATTTTGACTAACCAAATCATCAACTCACTGATTATAGTTTCAAATGACCAGGAGCACATGGAACTTGAGAAGCGTTATCGTGAACTGACCGATCTATTGGTAATGAGTTTAAGTGCCCATGTCCCCTATTTTTTCCATGAAAGAATGTCTGGAGTCTTACTTATATACGAAGTTACATTGTTATGGTAGTACTACAAGCAAACGCAGTTGGAAGCCATGGCTAGTGAAAAAGCTGCTGCTGAGTTTCAACTGGAGAAGGAAATAAATCGTGCTCAAGAGGCACAGGTCTGCCTCTTGGTGCTCTATACGTTTTCAAAAATAATCATTCCTTTTCTCCTATTCATTGTTCAAATAGTTTATTGAATCAGATTATAACTTGGCTGCATTATTGAAAAGGTAGAAGTAGAAAAAAGTAGAGTTTCACGTCGAGCTTCTGCATCTTGGGAAGAGGATTCTGAAATCAAATCTCTCGAGTATGTTCCTTGTCCTAAATTTTTACAGTTATTTGTAGATACTTGTACTTCAACCTAACTGTTTCAACTTTATAATCCTACAAAGAAATATAGTTTTCAAAATCGGACCCATTAAACATTTGAATGTTTTGATGTAAAAGGGTGGGTATAGCACGTGATATTACTTGCAGAAAATCAGGTTCTTGATTATGCAAAATTATTATATTTAATCACATGAAACTGTTCTATATCATAAAAGAATGAGGTTTCTTGTGACTTCCATAGCCGTCCCAAAACTGCTTTGTTACTTGAAGTAAAAGGTGAATGTAGGTCCACTTGTTGACAATTTTAATGAAGAATCTGGCGATTTCCAATTGTTTCGATTTCTTTAGTATTTCAACATCTTGCATTACTTGAAATTTCCCTTACAAAGTAATGATTTCAGGCCGCTCCCCTTGCATCATCGATATATGGCCGGGACGAGCATGCAGGTAAATCTCCTGTCCATTCCAATGCTTACCCTTTGTTTGCCGGGCTTTATCTTTACCTTCAACTTGCATCGTGCAGCTGCAGAAAGCAGCAAAACTGTTGGATTCAGGGGCAGTCAGGGCAACAAGATTTCTCTGGCGGTATCCCACTGCAAGACTCATACTACTCTTTTATTTGGTAAGAGTTTCTTTTGCCTTTGTCCAAAAAATGTCTGAAGTATGATTAATAAGGTTATTATCGGAGTCGGACTGTAACGTTGAAAATCTGTTTGCAGGTGTTTGTACATCTTTTCTTGATGTACCTATTGCATCGTTTGCAGGTATGTTTGGTATTCACTGACCTTCCTTTTCCAACCCCAAATCTCTTATCTGAATCTGGTTCTGGATATGTGAAGTTCGTGTAACATGTCATATGCATGTATCTACATCTTAGGTTAGAAGTCATGCGAGATGAAAGTGACATGCTTAGTTTTAAACGAGAAAAAAAAATATTTTGGGAGTAGCTACTTTAACTTTAGCCACTCATCATCAAATGAATGATGTCTTTTAAGGGTGTAAATGGGTTGAGTCAGTTTTTGGTCGAAATTGATGTCAGAGCCGATCTTTTATTAAAACTTTTTTTTTTTCTTTTCTTTTTGCAAAGGCTTTTCTAAAACATCGAATCAACCCACCAACCAACTCAAACCCACACAACAAACCCAAACCAAAAAAATCGAACTAAACAGACCGTGTCCAATAAGAAATGATTGTTTTCTTATACATTGAAAAACAAAACTGACGAATAAAATACTTCAAAGTTCAAACCAACTGAACGAAGACTTGGTTCAATCAGTCTCGTTGGCCTTTTTTTTCTCCCTCTACTGAACCCTCCCTAAATCTTAGGGAAATTCTAGTTACTCTTAGCATGATGATATTAGATCCGTACACATATATTTAACCTCGAAACGTGCTAAGTTTTGCAGGCGCAAGCGGATACTTTTGCTGCTAGAGAAGTTGCAGAGTCCATGGGGCTATCCCAACCCAAATTGACCATAAAAGACGAGTAATTGCATCTCCAACTTTTGTACAAGCAGGCAAATGACAGTAGATTGACGTGAAGAAATGAAAACTCAACTGAAAAGTTGAAGCCTGGGTTCTATTTATCTATTGTCAACTGCACAATGAATTGTTTACTTAAAAGAAAAAAAGAAATATACAATTTTAGTTGTTTATCAGAGAAGATAAAGGCAATTGGTTTAGAAATAGAGTGGCTGATACAGATGAAAGAAGTCGCATCGCATCGAAAATTTTCTTTATCGTTAATTTTAACAATAACTTAAATTTTTTTTTTCACGTTGTTTTGCTAGAAATGGGATCAGTTGACCACTGTCGATACTTGTACCTAGTAGAAAATATTGGATATTGTGAATCTAAAGTTTTCCATTTGATTTTATAAATTTATGAAATTGTGAGGATAAATGTCTATTCAGGGGATATTTAGCTTACATTGTACTTCTATTAGTTTGTATTTGAATTATCTGGAAGAATGATGATAATTTGGAAGAAACAAATTAACATATCAAGTTTATATATTCACCTTCATAACTTTATCTATATAAACCTTCGTGAGCAAAATGCCTCTTTAAAAGTCAATTTAACTATAAAATATTTTGGGAGTAGCTACTTTAACTTTAGCTACTCATCATCAAATGGGATCAATTTTCTTAAAAATGGTTTCTAAACTAAATAAAAATGGTTAGATCCGTGTGACATTTCATCTCCCAAACATCAACTATAAAAAAACTCATAGCATTTTGAGAAATATTTTATTTTTAAAACTATTAAAAAATTGTGACCAAGATTAGTAGAAACTAATGTTTTTGTGTAGAAGACAATCAACAAATTTTGTCATCTATTATAATACACTCAAAGAAAACAAGAAAGATACAACTTTTAAACCAAAAAGTTTCCACATATTTAAAATATTAAAGAACAACAATTTCGATGAAATATATTAGTAAATATTGATTTCTCCCTAAAGAGATCAATGAAATCTATTACAGACATTAGAGAATAGAGATCACTTGAAAATTACTTACATTTTATATAAGTAACTACAGCCCTTGAATCCGGTGTGGAGTTTTGGTCTATCTTCCTCAGCCATCCACCGTCTGCCTGTCCCTGTTAGACTTGGGCATTTACAAGTGACTTTATTATGTATCATATTACTTTACTAGCATTACTATTTTCATAACATTTCTATCAACTTTTATTCTTGATCCTTTCTGTATGTATTTAGATCAACATGAGTTTCTTGGTAACGCTGACTTAAATATGTCTTGCATAGAATCGGAGGAAACCTAACAATAGAATATTGTCATAAGAAAAAGAAAGAAAACTTAGAATATTATTTTCAATGTTCATTTACGAAAATGTTGTAGTTCAAGGCAATAAATCTTGAAGGGAGAGGTGACTAAGATGTGTAAACATAACTGTAAAATTTCAAAGCTTGATAAGTTTGAATAAATTTAATATTTTAATAGATAAAATTAAAGGAAAGAAGAGGAAGGAAACTAAGCCAAATTTAAAATAGAAACTGAGCGTAGGGAGGATCGAGTTGGTTTGCAACAGAGGAGTATATATTTTTTTAGTAAAAATTCTCAAATTATAAATTAAAGAAAGAGATTAAGAGGAATATTATTATGCCTCCATGAAACAGAAACAATGGAATGAAATGAAGAACAAAACAAAAGGAGGTAAACTAAATTTTACACAAAATATCTACTTACTTGGGAGGGTTTTTCTCTGACTTGCAAGTTGGCAAACATTCCACAAGACAATCATGACTAGGTTCCACAAAATATGCAATCTGCTCTCATAAAAAAAATAAAAATCTTACAATCAATATTCAGAGGAATTTCATGTAACATGCACCGTTGCTACTAATAGACAATGGTTTTTCTCTTCTTTTTTGTATATTTGAAAATCGCTTGACCAATCAGCTCCCATTTTTTTGCTATTTACCATTAAATTTTTATTTGATAGATAAGATTGAGAAACAGATTTCTCTTAAAAAAACTAAAAAACTATCAAATTTTTATCGATGGTTGGTATTAGGGATGGCAACGGAGCGGGGACGGGATTGGGATTCCCCGATTTTTTTTTATTTGTATTTTATCTTTTTTTAAAAAAATTTATAAATATTTTAATTCTTTAGAAAATATAACATTTTTTTATGGAATAACGTAAAATTTAATTAAATACAACTACAATATTTAAAAAAATAAAAAAGTATTTATAAAAAATAATATATATTAATATTATTTTATATATATAAAATAAAAATTAATAAAATATTAAACAGAGCGGGGACGAGGTGAGGAGATCTCCCCATCCCCGTCGGGGACCCCGATTAGGATCCCCGATTTGACCCCGTCACTAGTTTAATCGGGGATTTCCGACTCGACGGGTCATGTGGGTTTTTTTGCTATTCCTAGTTAACATAAAGATGGATGCTGATTGATAGGTATCTAAGTATTATTCTTTGAGGAGAGGAGACGACTCCGTTATTGATGAACTAAATAGTTTTGCAAAGTTTTGCAAGGCTTACAGAATATCTATCTTGACCATTCACCAGAACTCTGTGTAATGTGGACCTGAGATCGAACATAAGAAGAAAAAGAGTTAGGTTATGTTACATCCAAAAACAAATATTTAAAAGATGCTCAAGTGAAGTATGACTAATTAAATATTTACAACTTTCATTGTAACATTGAATGCAAATAAAAGCAACAACTCATATAGTCTCATTCAAGATTCTTGAAGGTATTAGGGAAGGCAAATAAATACATCATTATTGCATATTGAAAAACAATTTAAAGCATATGATCAGTTCATAAAATCTGAGAGAATATCACATTTGAAAGTTCATCATGCTTCAACATACATCTGGATTAAATGTTAATGACAAATAGACAAATGAAAGGTTGAAAATTTTTGTATCTTACTTGAATATGCAGTTGCTCCATCGCTCCAGCATGTCTCCAAGGTTCACCACAAACGCCCTGTTAAATACCATACAGACCGAAATCATGAAGCCAGAAAAACACAATATTTTTTGTTTGCTCATCTAAAAATAGCTTCCTTCTCTGTATTTTTGTCATTTTTTAAACTCTGGAGTGGAATTTTAGAACACGAGTATAATCTATGATGCACACTGAACAACTCTGTGCCATTTTCATGATCGTCTTTTCAAACTTTATACATGCAAGAATACTAAATGAAAATGATATCATCAAGCATATGATCAACTAGTTCATAATAATTCCATAGAACTCACCCTTTGAGTGGTGCTACATATTCCCATATCTGAGGTTTAGCATCTTTGTCCTTGCAAATCTGTTCTAATTGCAAATACTTTCAATGGCTAATCAAATCATATGGCATGCTGATGATGAGAACACAATGGAATTGCTTACTTGGAGACCGAGGTTCTCGTCTGTCGCCAAGAGTGTGATTAAACCATAGTCTGAATGAGCTCCAGCTCCAAATATTCCTTTTGAGGGTTCAGAAATTTGGGCTGATGCAGAAACAGGACAGTTTATGATTTATATATAGCCATAATATGCCACAGAACCAAGAGTGAAGAAAAATGTTCGTTTCACACCTTCATAGTGTAGTAGGCGCAAGACTGCAATTGGCTCACCAAGCATTTCTGGCTTGTCAAAAAAATCAATCTCAAGATCAAGCGCAAGAGCAATGATCCTTGAGATTGCTCTAGCAACCTCTCTGATTTCACATTTTTTATAAAAGAAATCAAGATATAAATATTTTTTAATTGATCTATTGGGTTATGCCAAGAAGAAAACGCTGAATATGTGAGTGGGGATTATAACTCACAACTTTTTTTTATCAAATATGGGTGCCTAAACTAAATATTAATAAATCAAGACGAGGGATTGGCAGAACTCTTATTACCATTGATCGGACGCTTTGCAGACTGGAATAACAACTCTATTTAAATAAATTTGTCTAATCACCAGAACGATAACATACAGTGCTTGTGTATGAAACTTCTCCATGATCTCCCTCCAGCCAGGTAACAAATCTAAAAGACCAAAAAAAACATATTGAGCGAAAGCCAATATACATGTACATTTTTTTTGCTTTGTTTTTGAGGGGATACCTTCTGCAGGCCAAATATTTGGACCATAAAATGGCCTTTCTCCATCTGGATCATCTCCAGGAATCTTCTCCTCGATTCCTATGTAATACCCCTCCTTGTAATCTCCTACTTAAATAGACAACAATATACAATTGAGAATATCAAATTCCAAGCATTTGAGGAAGAAAACTGTGCAGCAATTTTAATTTCTCTTTGCAGTGCTCATAGACGAATTGCGAATTGCAGAAAACATACTTGAGTGTAGGAGTGTAGCCTCTATGCTTCTCGTTTCTCAGAAGCTTCATTTTATTGCTTAGCGGCAGACTAAAAAGCTTTTTGCTCTGAGCAAAAACCTCATCCATAAATTCCTCCGCGATTCCGTGATTCACAGCATAGAAGAATCCGGTATCCAAACAAGCCTGAACGAATCAAGAGCTACTTCAATCAGTATACAAAGTTCGGTTTCAATTTCTGTGTAGAAACAAAAATCGAAATCGAAGATATCAACTACTTTCGTTATCAAATTGAAGATTACCTGTTTGAGTAACGAAACCGATTGATGAATATCTGAGCTCGAAAGGTCGATACGATTGAGAGCGAGAAATTTCGGAGCCGGATCATCTTCGGCCCGAATCTCCATGTTCGCCGAGAAAGTAAACTTGAATTGATAGATAAGCTATATTGTTTCACGAAGATGCCACATCAAATCTTCAGAAATGAACAACAATTTGACAGAAAAGAGAGCAAAAAGTTCAAAAGTAATCGAGCATTGTAATCTGTAATTGTGGGGCATGGTTTATGATTACCGAATTGAAACAGAACAAAATTTATAGCGGCGTTGGGCATCTTTAAATCAATTACATTATTGTAATGAGTCGCTACTTGCGTGGGCCGTGGAGTATAAACTTTAGGCTAAAGTACCAAAAAAACAAAAAAAACAAAAAAACAAAAAAACTCCAAAACCTTTTTATTTGTTTCTAAAACATCCTATTATTTCAAAAGTTTTAATACTAATTTCAATCTTTGCTAAACTTTTTAAAAATATGTAAGTTTAATTAGAATTTAACAAAAAATTCACATTGCAAAATCTAAAACAATATAATAATTAACGTGAGTTGTCTAGATTAAGTTTGAAAAGAAAAAAATATGGAAGAAGCTATCAATTTTTAAAGAGGGAATTAAAGTATAATTGAGTCGACAACGGAAAAGCAAGTTATCTTGATAAAATGAAGAAAAAATTTTGACAAAATTATGACATTAATTGTAAGTGTTGTTTAACCTTTTCGTTTAAATTATTAACTGATACTTACTTAAATAATATTTTTAGAACGTTAATAAAATGTGAAGGAACGTTAATAAAATGTGAAGGATAATATTGAAATTTTTGAAAAGATAGGATAATTTTTTAAACAAATGACAAAATCCATAGATTTAACTTAGAACATATTTAAGTTTAAATTACATAAAAGCTTTATCATTAAAAAAAATATAAAACATAATTACGTTTTGAAATATCAGCAAAGTTCAATTCGTCAAAGTATTTATTTCCCACTTAAAAAAATCTGAGTTTAAATTCATGCCTCCAAATGTTGTATTAAAGAAATAATAATAGACGTCAAATTTTTTTTCTTTTTTTTTCCCTTTTTCTTTCTTTCTTTNTCAAGTTTTGTGGCTCTCCATGAAATATTGGGCCTGTTGTAGCTCAGCCCAACGGATTCTAATTTTTCAACCCACGAGCATCAAGAACCGATTTAATTTTTTTTAATAACGATTGTGCTTTACATTATTTCTAAAATTAGAACTTATTTAGAAGTGTTATTAGCTTGTATCAATCGATTAATTTAAATACTGTTTCAAAAATAACAATTAATTAACTTAAATACACAATTTAATAATTTTTAAAATATTGTGTCTTTGAATCAAACATAAGTTACTTGAATAGTCAAGTAATTTAATTAAATTATTACCATTATAAGTGAATAAATGTTCACAACATAATAACGAAACAAAACCACGTGATGATGGGATGAAGTCTACATCAGACATGAGTGAGATGGAGCTCACATACCTTTCTCTATGCAAGAGACAACATACTTCAGAATCTCCAACCTTAAATAACATATTAGAAAAATGTAGACTATCCGTATATGTTCTCACATGTTTCCTAGTAAAGTAATTAGGAAGTTACTCAATCGACTTTAGAGTTCTTACGATTGAGTTACCGAAAAGGAAGGTGTACTTTGTTAGTATAGGTAGTAACTATCAATTCTTTTAAGTCTGTTTTTAATCATGCTTTCATGGTCTCAGGATCGCTCTCATTCGGATGTGGTATCAGTTCATTCATGTACCCCTCCTTTCTAGTCGGGTCGTAAGGGATGCAGGGAAATACGGAGACGATTAAAGCCAAATCCAAATTCTGAATCCTGGTCCGAATCTTGGACCTGAGGCATTACACATAATCATTGCTGTCAACACCACCTGGATCTAAATATTAATTTTGACACAACAAACTAGTGTGTGAGGTCGATCGCCCTAACTAAGTTATCACAACCTTGAATCTAAACTTGGTAAAGTTCACATGTATTAGAATTATGCATCATAAATTAATTTCTCTTGAAGGAAACCTTATTTATTTATTAACCTAAATACTTTTCAAAATGAAATTTCAAAAAATTTACAAAAGTCTTCTTCAAAATATGTTTACTTTTATTTATAAAAATTGTGGTTATCTTACATTGTTGAAAATAATGAAAATTATTACAACCGTAGGGTTATGTTTGGAATATACCTTCAACAAAAGTCACATGTATTGAATGTTCTTTTATAAACCAGTGGCTTACAAATTCATCTTCTAATGAATACGACTCCTATAACATTGGACACGTAAGCTTGAACTATCAAATGAAGGTTTTTTTTTTTTTTTTTTTTTTTTTTTTTTGTGTGGAGAAATTCAAACGAAGGATCATTATTGTGGAATTTCTCTCCTCTTTATTTTTCCAGCATGTAATTGTCATTAACAATATTTTTCTTCCACTGACAATTTTAGAATTTGTGTTATTTTTATTGTAGCTTTTTTTTTTACAAAATAATGTATTTTAAAAAATATTGAGTAAAAATATCCCATGTATATTAAAAAAAAAGGCACATTCACTAATTAAATATTAGTTAATGAATCTTTTCAAACTTGAAGTGAAATAGAGAGGAAAGACAGCTAGGCTAGTATTTTGTTTCATATTTTTTGCAAACTGCTTGTTTACAAAATATTTTTTCATACTCATTTTAAAATATAATTTACAAAAACAAAAAGATAATCTATCTTTGAATTATGTTTCATTATTGTTATGGTTATTAAATCGTAAGCATCAACATCAAGGTTCCAGATCCAAGTGGTAGTATCAAGGCCCATAGTTATTGTTCTCTAGAAATGATCACCGCATTTTAATAAACTAGGTAAACTTTTTAAATAAAAACAACCTATTTATAAGAATATCTTTTTCCTAGTATTTATATTAGATTTATACTTTCTTGATTTGATTAAACTTATAAGAAGTTTTTCTTTCCACTATTTGCAATCATTATTATGTTTTCTGAGTATTTATATTAGATTTATAATTATGTTTTCCGAGTATTTATATTAGATTTGTACTTTCTTGATTTGATTAACCTTATAAGAAGTTTTTCTTTCTACTATTTGCAATCATTATTATGTTTGATTTGACGAGACAACGTTAGTATATTTATATTATTTCAAATGTGTCTAAAAACTTTTAACCACAACCGCCTACTCCAACGTGCCACCTAATTATATTTTATTTTCATAACAATTACAAATAGCACTTCTATAATTTATAAATCAAACTTTTATGTTAATTAGCTTAAATTGATGTGTAAAACAGGCATCAATTATGTTGAAAATAATAGTAAAACTTAATCAATGACTATGATTTTTTTTTTTAATTTTACAAATTACATTTGGTGTTTTGAAACTACTTTTAACATATAAAAATAGGATTTATACAACCGATAAATCATAAAGATAAGATTCATAATCATTCACTAGATACTCTCCATTAATGGTACACAATTCAATCATTCATTTTTCTAGAACCTCTCGAGTATGTATAATTTTAAATTAATAATTTTGGATAAAAAATAACTTCTTTCAGTTTGCCCTTTTCCCTAACTTGAAGGGGCCGCCACCGCCACAATAATACAATTTTGGATACAAGTCACTCTTGACATTCTTGCCCACTTGATTGTGACACGTTGCCCCCACACACATCAATTTTATTTGACAAGACAGAGAGAAAAAAAAAACAAAAAACAAAAACAAAACAAAACAAAATTACAAAAAACACCCCGACAATAAAAGTTATTACAATACATTTAAAATTTCAATTTGGGCCCTTATCCTTTTAAATTTGTAAAATCAAAGAATTAAACTCTGTCCTTAGAGCTATGTCCACAAGTTCCTAATTTTTAAAATATGCGATTGCAATAATATTAAACATTTTCAACAAGTTACCTAAGTTTAGCTCGGCACTAATTGACGTCCCTCCATGATCAAGAATTTATAAGTTCGAATTCATCAAACATCTAGTCTCTATTAAAAAAAATATATTTTAAACATTTTAATCTAAAATTTTTCAATCTTTATCCTTATATTTACTATTTTATATTCCACACAAAAGAAATTAACCATTTTTGTCCAGACGTAAGTGTCATAATTAATCAAAAATGCAAAAATCATGTTAGGCCTAGTAATACTTTTTGAGACGTCTTGTTCATCTCTATTATGTTAAATTTGCGATCTAATACCAATGATGTGAGCATAACTCAACACACCTATTTTAGAACGGAGATTAAAGGAAAATTTTGCAGTCTAATTTAATTTTACATGGGCGAAGAGTCGCAAATCAGAATTATGATTATACACGATTTGATGGCGAACCTGATCACCAGAAGAAAGAGGTGTACAAAAAATTGAAATCTAGTGGGGAATGGAAGTGGAAGGAGGAGGAGGGGGTTCCACTCGGCGGCGGCAGAGGGGGCAGCAGTCGGCGACTGCGAGCCAGGAGGAGATGCAAGGCTCATGGTACACGTGTCCGCAGGGGATTTGCTTTCCGCCCTCGTCTGACCGGAAATCCTCGAAGCAAACGGCGCAAACGTCGGCCACCACCGTCGGCAAATCCGCTACAATAGAATCGGAGGAATTAGCCGCGGTGACGTGGCAGCAACCGAAGTCGTCGTCGCCGGAGAGAACCATGTCCAGGTCAAATAGAAGCTCCATTGGATACGCCGCCGCTAAGTTTCTTGTCGTCTCGGCCAACACAGCAACGGCAGCCATTACATAGAGAGAAAAACAGAGTGGTTTGGTTAACTATGGAGATGGAGCAGATACAACAGCTTCAACTGTGATTTCAGATTTGTGAGTTGAGTTCCACGGACTACACGCCTCATTTTATATCCATAAAAAATTTGACAAATAGTAGCCCGTAATTATTTTTTATCTTTATAAAAAATATAAATATCATGTGATGTAATATTTCTACAATTATTAGATTATTTTTAACAAAATACTAATCTATAATACAATCAAAAGTAAGATTGGTAATTGATATATGTCTCAAATTAAAGAGTCGTGAGTTTAATCTCCACTATGTATGTTCTATTAAAAATAGAAAAAATTACATAATATAAAGATATAACATTTTTTAATTACTAAGCTCTCCACCTCGTCGTATTCTGGAACAAATATCTAATTGTAACTAATTTAAATATAGAGATTAAATCTTTACTCTAAATATGTTTTTTTAACATAAATATGATCTTATTTTTTGGATGATAGGGTTGATGTTATCGAAGGGGTCTTTTTTAATTTAGGTATTATATGTAAATAAAATTGATTAGCACTAAATTCAGCTATTATTGTTGGACTTACCCAACCTAAAATTTCAAACTTCCTCTCCCTCTCAATCTATGCAAAGGAATTATGGATATTTGTCTTTAGTGTCTACTGGTCTGGACAAGTAGTAGGACGGATATTCATGTCGACAATAAAGTTACAGAGGTAGATATGGAGAATCGAGCTATGAGTCCACTTCAAATATGAAGCATCTCATATCGAAAAGATAAAAAATTTAACAAGATTACAAGATTAATAAAATATATGGCTTGTTCTTCTCATTGTCAATTAATTTTGAGATGGAACAAGGAGACGAAGTTAAATTCCGTGCCAATTTTATTCCACGTCCACCTTTTATGTACCTGATTAATTTTAAAATTATTTCTTTACCTTTTATTAATTATAAATAAAATACTAAACCTTTTCTAAAACTAATTGGTTCAACTAATAAATAATATAAATAATAATTTTAAAGTAAAAAAGTTTATTAATTATATATTGTAATACATATATATTTACTTAATTTATTTAAAAAAATAATTAAAAATAATAATTATTATTTTGATACAATATGTGGGGTGTGTGCTTTAACTATTTGAGCTATGCTCGGTTTGACATGAAATCAAAAGTTTTCTCATGGGAACCAAGCCTTATTCACTGATTTAGAAATTTTGGGGTTGGGAATGAGAATTAGAAATTCTAGCGAAGTTGATATGGTCGGTTTGGAAATGTTTTGATGTTTCATTTTTGTTTCCTCTTTTATAATAATAATATAGAAAAAGAATTACATGGCTCCAACCCAATTCTATGTTCAATAATGATAAAACAACATTTTTATATATGTTTTGAAATAAATTGGAAATGAAAATAAGAAATAATAAACTTTTTTTTATTCTTTCTAAAATTTCTATACAATTTTGAAAATGTTTCTTAAAAAATAAGAAACAAACAATATAAATAATAGTTAAATGCTTAGATTTCTTAATAAAATTTGAAAACGAGAAACAAAAAAACAAAAACCTTACCAAACAGACTCGAAGAATATATATCCTCAAGAATCCAATCCTATCATCAACTAGCTAGCTATGAATTGTTTAATAGTTCGTTAATAATAGAGTTTCAATTTAGTAAACGTAATTAATCCTCCATGAAATTTTAAGCAAGGATTTGGAAAAGGAAATCCACAATCTTCTCTCCTTGTAATTAAAGATTTTTTTTAGTACAATATGTGAGGTGAAGAATTAAATTTTTTCACGTTGTCTAGGTTGTATCGTGTTATGTTTTGTATTGTAGTATCGTGTTATGTTTTGTATTGTATACAACTTGATAGGGTCGTTTTCACTTCCAATCCAATAAAACAAAGCAACTATATATCATTACTTCTCTCTCACGAGGGCCAAATTCAAAGTGTGTTAATCTCCTTATTTACTTTTCTTGCATTTCTTAAAGAAGACTTTTCTTGCATGTTTTAGAGAAACTTTTGTTGAGAGAATTAGGAAAAACTAGCCATATATTTTAGTGGACAAATGTCAACACATGCCCCTGTTTATGGTAGGACGAGGTAGATCCATATCGATTGTAAAAGTCTCGAACATCTAATTTCATTCTCGAATATCATTTTGTGTCATAGTTCACACTATAGAATAACTATCTTCGTGTAAACAAGTTTAAATCGATTCAACTATCACATGTATTTGGTTTTTTATTAGAAGACTCTTTTCATTTTAAGACGCTCGTATCTCATCTAGAGTTCTTATCTCACACGTTTAAGGGTCAGCTTGTAACTCTCTACTATGCCAACAACAATATTATTCATTAAGTTTAAAGCTCCTATACCTCGATAAAAAAAACTCCCAGTAATGAACCTCTTTTATATATTTGGAAGACTTTAGATATAATATATCTACTTAATAATAAGCCTTTGTCACTAATGGAACGCTTGAGGCGAAACATGTCTATTAGTTTGTCTAGGTATTTGCCACATTATACACAAACTCAAATAAAAAATATATCTTATTAGTTATATCACCGTGCCAATATTTTGTTAATAATCATGTTAATGTTAACAACGAAGATTAAATAAACTTATATTAGATAAATACTAGAATACCTCAAACATATATGGAGACTAAGTTAATAATTTGGAGGACTTACCATTTACAAATAAAATTCAACCCCCATTTCTTCATTATTTTAGGAAAACAAATGGAGGAAAAAAAAAAAAGAAAGAACAAGAATAGAAAAATGCTCCAGTGTTCCCCTTATTAAGCTAACGAAAATACGACACGTCAGCAGGCATTCCTAACGACTTCTTCCTTTTATTGAGATCAACATATTCATTTGTCTCCATGTTTCTTATTTTAAAACAATTACTATTCTTCTTGAAAAACGCGAGGTTTGCGTTTAACTATACAAATGAGTCATTTCACCGAATTAATAATAAGTTAAAAATAATATTATGTTAATATTGGTACTATTTTATTGATATTTTGTGAAACTATTCATTCTTTATACCAATATAAAATACATGTTTTAAAATATCGATAAAAATATTAACGTACCGAAATAAATGTAATCCGTTAAATATATAAGATTGATTTTTATATGCATCTAAGCTGGCTATGACAAAGTTTGTCTTTGACCAACTTTGCCAATTACATTGCTTACACGTTGGATTCCTTCAATAATTTGAAAAAGTTTTTGGACATAAAAAAAGGAAAACGAAATCTTCCATCCAAGGACTTTTTCATAGCTTAATAGGCCTTTCTTTTCTTTAAATAGTAGAAAAATCAATGTAACAAATCAACAATTAATACAATTTCCTTATTTTCCGTGAAGAAAAAAAAATATTTTTTTTCTTATTCTTTTTTAGCTAGGCAAGAAGATTCAAACACAAAAATTGATAATGTCTCGATCGACTTGAACTATGTTTATGTCGGCAAACACATTTTGTAATTTAATTCTATTCCTTATCTATCTTCTCTATTTTCGTTGTAAAATTTTTATCTTTAATCATATCTTAATGAGTGGTCCTTGAGTAGATCCCACATTCATTCGATTGCATTAATGAGTCATAAGTTTATTTCTCAATATATATAGGTGGGTAGATAAAATTTAAATAAATGGGTAATAAATTATTAGTTTTTAGTAAAAACTTTTTTTCTTAATACAACATGGCCATGTGGGGTGTGAGATTAAACTCACAACTTTGGTGGAGATATATACCAATTATCGCACAACTATACTTGCTTTGACTATTTAAAACATTTAAAAATGATTGAGTTTTTTTTAGTATAACAAATTTGGAGATGTTGATTGAACATCCTAGAAAATAAGCAAAATACCATAATCATTGAACTAAAAAATGTTATTTATGAAATCTATGCCTTGAAAAGCTTGAATTTGTGTAATCTCCAAAACAACCATGCAAATTAAATTTATAATAACTTGTTTTAAATTTGGAATTTTACAATCAAAAGTTAACTCATAGTATAAAACTGTCGAAGTGAGCATAAGCTCATAATATAAAACTGTAACTTATATTTATACAACTTGTGCTAGCATATATAGTTTGGGACTAAAAAAGAAAAACTAATTAACGTGTATATATTTTTACCTTTTAACCCTAAGTGAAGATGAAACGTATTCTTAAAGGATTCTAAAAAATGAAGGAAAAAGAGAGAAAATTTTGAGGGAAGGAAGAATCATTGCGCCAGCGAAGGCCCATAACCATCCGTTGAATCAAAACCTTCAGCCATAGCCAAGCTTTTGAAAACAGCAATCAATGGCGTCGGAAAAATCCCATATGGATAAAACTCAAGTTTCAAATTAAGGGGAAAAAAAAACGAACTAACTAAACTTGTACGGTCTTCAGCGCCTCCGCCTTGTCGCCGGAGGAGATATGGCGGCGGCAGAGAGGGCAGCAGTCGCCGACGGAG